TTGCTAAAATAATCTATAACTATTAGATAATCCCTTCCTTGAAAGTAAAAGAGGTCTGTTCCCAATACTTCCCATGGACCATTAGGTATTTCTTTAGATATCATTGGTTCTTTAGTATTAGCTTTTGTAAACTTAAACATGTTTGACAATTCAGTACCAAATCTTCAATTTCTTTGGACATTCCTGGCCAATATAATATTTCTCTTGCTTTGATCTTGCATTTTACTACTCCTAAATGACCATAATGAATTCTGCTTAACATATCTTTTCGTAAACTTCTGGTACAACAACACAGGAATTTTTAAATATTAATCCATTTGCTTCTGATAGTTCTTCTCTGAAGTTAAAATAGGTTTGCCAGTTCTGGAACCATACATTTTTCATCTGGCCATCCAGTTTTTAATTAATTTTCTTAAAACTTGTAGTTCTTCATCTTTTCTGTTTCCATTGAAAAACTTCCATTTTACCATTAGACATTGGTATACATTCTACAACTAATCCAACATGAGCTTCTATTTCTCCTTCAAAGAAATCAGATCCTTTATCAGTGAATGATCTTGATAATGCATCCGCTATAAAAAGTTCTTTTCCTGGTTTATATTTTATCTCAAACTGATATGGCTGTAATCTTATACGCATTCTTTGTAGTCTTACAGGGCATTTTATTTAATGGCTTTTTAAAAATTGATTCCAGTGGTTTATGATCACTTTCCACAGTAATATTTTTTCCAAATATATACTGGTGTGAAATTCTCACACGCAAATACAATAGCTAATGTTTCCTTTTCAATTTGAGCATAATTCTTCTGTGTATCTGTTAATGCCTTAGATGCATATGCCACTGGTAAATTATTCTGCAGTAAGACTGCTCCTAGTCCTTCTTGAGATGCATCTACAGATAAAACTACTGGCATGTTTATATCATAATACTGTAAAACTGGTTTATTTACCAAGACATCTTTTAGTCTTCTAAATGCTTTTTCATGTGCTGCATTCCAGTTCCAGATAACTTGTTTTTTCAACAAATCTCTTAAACATGATGTCAATTCTGATACATTAGGTATAAATCTAGAAACATATGTAATCATTCCTAGGAAAGTTTCTAATTCTTTCACATTTTTTGGTGGTTTTATATCTAGAATAGCCTTAATTTTGTCTTCATCTGGTTTTAAACCATCTTTAGAAAATATATGTCCCATATATTTCACTTCATTCAGCCCAAATTTACATTTATTTAAATTAAATTTAACATTCTTTTCTCTGGCTCTGTCCAACAACTTCTTTAATCTTGAATCATGTTCTTTTTATCTTTACCCCAACTAATAAGTCATCTATATATATTTGAACTCCTTCTAAATCACTAAAAATTTCAGAAAAACTTCTGTGGAAAACTTCTGGTGATGAACTCAGTCCATATGGCAACCTTAAAAACAATATCTACCACCAACGGAGTGTTAATGTAGTAATTCACAACTTGAATCTGACAGTTTAATTTGCCAAAATGCTTTGTTTGCATCTAAAATACTAAAGACCTTTGCATTGTCATTTGAGATGAAATTTCTTCAAAGGTTGGTATGTGATAATGTTCTGTCAGTATATTTGGTTAAGGTGCTGAGGATCTAAACACACTCTTAAATTACCATCCTTTTTCCTTATTACCACTAATGAATTCACGAATTCTGTTGGTTAGTTAACTTTCTTTATAATACCATCTTTTTCCATTCTTGCTAATTCCTTTTTTAATGGGTTTAATAAGCTAAAGTGGAATTTTCCTACAGGGTTCTATTTTACCAACAGCTCCTGGTTTTAATTTAATATGATATGTATATCCAGTTAAATTCCCAGTTCCTTTAAACAATCTTGATATCCTTTTAAAAGTTCTGGTAACTTTCATTAGAATCAGGATTTACTGTACAAATCCTTTGTATTAGGTTTAATTTTTGCAATGTAGGTAACCTAAAATAGCTGGAACATTTTTATCACATGCGACGACTTGAAATTCTATTTCGTCCTTGTTCCCTTTTGATGTTTCACATAATAATTTACATTTTCCAACTACATCAATTGTAGTACCATTGTAATTATTTAAAGTGACTTTTGATTTAGTCAAACATTTCTCTCGTAAATTTAATTGGTTTAAATTAGGCAATGGTAGCACATTACACTGAGCTCCAGTATCCAACTTAACAAAAAAATATTTAGATATGTTTACTTTTAGTTTTCAAACCATTCGGGTTTTATTTTTAGAAAATGGATTTATATCTTCTACTGACCCTAAAATATATCATTACCATTATTATATAACTCATGCTCTAAATTATTCTGTAACAACATTAACATTTTTTAAAAGTGCACATTTTAGAAAAGTGATTTTTCTTTTTACAGTACAAGCAAATCTTATTATAAGCAGGACAGTTGTATAACTTATGAAAAGTTCCACATTTTCTACATGGTTTTGGATTATTGTACTTATTTCCTTGATAGTTTGAAGAAGATTTAGTACTTTGTTTTACATGATAGTCTTTCTTACAAGGCTGACTTTTTTCTTCTGAAGGTCGAAATTTATTACGTTTGATAGCTTCTATTTTATTTTCTTCAGTTAAAGTTTTCAGCTGAAGTTCTGCTAATTCAGAAGCTTTACACATTTTAATACATTTCTCCAATGTTAACTGATCTTCCCTTAATAATCTGTCTTTGAGATTTTATTTAGAATTCCACTTACTATTCTATCCCTTTATTAAACTATCTTTTAATTCTGCAAATCCACAGTTGCTACTTAATTTCTTTAAATCGGTTAAGAAATCATCAAACGATTCACCTACATGTTGTGTTCGACAGAAAAATATATGTCTATCAACACACTTTCGTTTGCTTTCGGTATGCAAAAAATTTTCGAAAGCTTCAATTACTTTGTCAACATCCTTCTTATCTTCTTCACTTAAATTAAAAGTATTAAATTTTTCAAGTGCTTCTTCACCAATTATATGCAATAAAATAGCTACTTTAATTTCAGGTGATTTAGTAATACCACCAGACGCTAACATATAAATTTGGAATTTTGTTTCCATTTTCTTCCAATTTTCGCTTAAATTTCCTTCGAAACTTAGATTACTTGGTGGCTTTAATCCATCCATATTTAATTTAGGACATTAAATAGTTTATATATACGTATTTTTAGCCACTTCCAATAAAAATAAACAACTCACTTACCAGCGATATAAGTTTCGATTTCACAGTAAACAACTTCCCATGATGTTTTTGTTTAGAACATCTTTACCGAGGCTGCATGGTTCTTGAAAAAAGATTTTCTTTTTTTTTAATCAACCACGGGCTGCGCCATGTGTTGTATTTTATATGTGTTGGGTACTGCTCAGTGATGATTACAAGTTAACACAAACATCATTTATTCTACATTACTCATCAACTATTCTATATTACAGTTATAGTTAAGATAATAATAGATACAGTTACAGTTACATATATAACAGAATCCTGATGGATCTATTGATAAATTCAAGGCTAGACTTGTTGCCAAAGGATGTACTCAACGTTTTGGAGCTGATTATGATCAAACGTTTAGTCCAGTAACAAAGTTAGGAACTATTCGTTCAGTTTTGAGCATCGCAGCCAATGAGAAAATGCATCTTTCTCAGTTTGATGTCGGTTCAGCATTCTTATATGGAAAACTTGAAGAATCTATATACATACAGCAACCAGAAGGATATAGCGACGGTTCGAAGAAAGTCTGTAAGTTGGAACGCAGTTTGTATGGACTTAAACAATCATCACGCTGCTGGAATAAATATTTTGGAGATTTTGTGTCACAGCTGGGCTTCAAGACAAGTGAAGCTGATCCATGCTCATATATAAGAAACAACAACGGCAAGAAGCTAATCGTATGTTTATATGTAGATGATGGTTTAGTAGCATCAACAGATCTACAAGAATCTGAAAAATTTCTCAAAGAATTGAAGTCGAGATTCAGAATCACAACTAAACCAGCAGTATACTGTCTTGGACTTGAAATTAAACATTTTGAAGATGGAAGTATTAAAATTAGTCAGCAAGCTTATGCAAGAAAAATTCTTCAAAAATTTGGGATGGAGGATTACAACCCAGTATCAACTCCTATCCTGAAGGAAGGTCTAACTGAAAAGAAAAAGGAAGATAAATCAAACAGAGAAATTTTTCCTTATAGAGAAGCTGTAGGAGCTTTAATGTATCTTATGTTAGGCACAAGACCAGATTTAGCTTACTGTGTTGGCATTCTATCACGTTACCTAGAAAATCCTTCGAAAGATGATGGGACAAAAGTGAAACGTGTATTCAGATACATAGCAGGTTCTCTAACTAAAGGTGTTACATACAAGAATAAATACAAACCAGGAATTCTAGAATGCTATAGTGATGCAGATTTTGGATGCTGTCAAGAAACAAGAAAATCAACGAGTGGAGTAGTGATATTATATAGTGGTGGAGCTATATCATGGATTAGCCAAAGGCAAACAGTTGTTGCAACTTCGACGACTGAAGCAGAAGTAATTGCAGCTAGTGAATGTTCTAGAGAAGTAATTTGGTTAAAGCGACTATTTAGTGATGTAACCAAGTTACATGAAACTCCAGTAATTCAAGTAGACAATGCCGCTGCAGTGAGACTATCACAAAACCTGGAGTTTCATCGACGCACAAAACACATTGATATCAAGCACTTTTTCATACGAGAGAAAGTTCTAGAAAAGGAAATCATTGTGCAGCAGGTACCTACAGAGGCGCAAGTTGCTGACATAATGACTAAACCTTTATTTAAACCGAGACTGTTAATTCTTTGTGATAAGATGGGACTTTTGTGACTTTTTTCTTTTAATTTATTATTATTATTATTTTACAAGTATTAAAGTATGTTAATAATAGTAATAATAATATAATATATAGTTTAGATAAGTTCTGGCAACAGTGAGTGTTGTCGTCATCAGGAGATCGTGCTTCGCGATACTGTCGTTCAAAAAATAGCTATAGTTTGTAATTCCAACAAAAAGCATCGTATTTTTGCTATTTGTTTTCTCTCTATTTTTAGAAATACCTTTTTAGGTTATGTATTTTTTAAGAAATACTTTTTTAGCTACCAATGTGGAATTACACCTATGATTCTTCTTTGGTTGTGTTGAAGAACTCCCAAGTGATGTTTGTTTATGTTTTCTGAGTATACGTGTTAAGCTAATATAGTTTACAATTTGATAAAAATAATAGGTCTAAAAGTGAGCATATCACCTTAATCCTTGCGTAGAAAATTTATTCGAGACTGCAATACGAACATCGTTTTTTTTTTTTTTTTTTTTTTTTTTTTTTTTTTTTTTTTGTAACATTTTACTTGGCCTGGAGGTCTTCCTATGGAAAGTAAATCCGTCCGAGCACGTGGTTGTATCTTATGCACATTTTTAAGAATTACTTTTAAGTTTACTAGATTTTCTTCTGATCCTTTACGATTTTTAACAACATCAGGGAAAAGTAATTCATCAGGAGTACTGAGTTTATTAGAACATTTCAATACATTATTAGTATTCTTATTACTATCATTAGGCATTTTACCTAAAACACCACTTTCCTTAACCTCAGAATTTACAATGACAGAATCGGCATTAGAACTATTACGTGCCCTAAAGTTTTCGGTCTTACCTAATAAGTTCTTGCATTTGGATAACATTACCTTAATTAGAGTTTCATCGAAGAGTCTTTGAGACATAGTATCCAAATTACGATTTTGCGTAATAGCTAATACACAAATATTACGAAGTTTTTCACCGAAATCTATATTGCTTTTTGAAAATCCAGTAGCAGAGCGTTGAATGGCACAGTAAAATCCACAGCGTTGAATACCTTTACCCATGCCCGAAGTTCCCTTTCTAGACCACCACAATGATCGTCACTATCCGAAACTAAATCATACACATCTTGTGTTTCGATAATTTATATCACAGAATACCAGAATACATCAGCGTCTAAAGCAATTTCGCTAAAGTAGACGAGTCTAAGGGCTCTAGTCTAGACATCATCGAGAGGGAAGAATGAGTCGTTTTTTGCGAACAACTCGACAAAGAACAAGTCTCATTCAATCATTACCAAAACATAGAACTGTCAGATAGATAGTCAATAGTTCAGATGGATCATCGCGACATGTAACAGAAGACCACGCCTACAATCTGATGTCATCGAGAACTAATTTAATTGGCTAGCTACATGAGGGTACAGGGCGGAGTCTAGCTTCTCGTCTTCTAATGTAACCTCTTTGCGTTCGCCAAAGTCGACAACTGCATTGCTATTTAACTTTAGAGGAATGGCAACAATTATTTATAACTTAAAAGCGCTTAAATTAAACTTGTACCTGAAAGTGTAGCTGAGTTTATTTTTTAACTGCTACTGAAAATTCCGTTCTCATAAGCACTTTAAGTGAATAAAATATTTTAAGATAATATTAGTGTTATTAAAACCTTTGGCTATAAGTAGGTTAATATTTTACTTTGATAATCCTGTTCTTCTTACATTTTTCCTTATAACATAACTATGTCATAGCAAAGTACGAATCAGAGCCGTAGCTAGGGTTTTCAGCGCCCAGGGACAACTGAAGATTTCGCGCCCCCTACTGCTTGCCAAGGATGGAAAACATTTAATTTTAAAATGTCCTAACATCAGTTTGGCGCCCCTTGGATTCTGCACCCGGGGACCTCTAGCTACGCCCTTGGTACGAATAAACTATATTTATTGGTATACAAATAAATGTTCAAAAATAAATGCATTTTGTGTTGCTATGTTCTAAAATGCATTAAAAGTCCTTAAAATTTAAATTTTACCTCCTGTAAAACTGAGTATGTAATAACTTAGTTTAGCAGGGGGATTGTTAATTAAAATTTCTAAAATGAAAATATGCTTTACAAATTTTTCTAGAATATTACACAAATGATTTCTTCATATCGTTTTTATAATTTTATAGGCACTGGCTATCTTAATATCTGAGCAACAGAACAATTTAAAAAGTATGTTTTAAAGTTTCTTAAAATTTTTTCAGTCGAATTAGTCTTTAATTAAGTTTTAAAAGACCTCTAAATATATGAATTAAGGGGATTTTCAGTTAAGAAGAAATCCTAAAAGGAACTGACATTATTATTAAATGATTTTTTTAGTTTTTTATATACATTTATTCTCTGTGTTGTTTTTTTAGAATTATTTAAATACCCTCTGCATAGACTTAAAGATGTCTGACAGAATTAAAGTTGCTGTACGAATGAGACCTCTAATTGACAGGTAATCACTAATGTATTTAAATATCAAACATGATGCAAAATTTTTAATTATTTAGTTATAATTGATGCTTATATGCTCACTAATCCTGCTTTGAATGTTTGGTTATTTTTTTTTTTTATGGTTATTTGGTTATTTTTGAACATTTTTCTTTAAACACTTCATCTTATTAAATAATTTTATCAAGTAAAACTTTATTAACCTTTTGAAGATGGGATGGCCATTATATTGGCCTTGGTATCCCCCCCTCGGTTTTCCACCCTGAAAAAGTGGGGTGAACTGTCAAGTTTGATATCCCTGGGATCTTAACCACTTATCTCTTTCAAAGGTCTTTGTGTAAAGCATCCAGTTTTACCTATAATTCCCTTTTCATTCTTGCAGCTTCAGAATTCCAAGATAACCTTATTCGTAATTATCTTGTAAATTCTTACTGTTCTTTAGAAAATTATATACATTTAATTGGACTTGTAAATTTTCCGGTCATAAAGAAAACTAGCACTTTTCCGTTTCGTTGGCGTAAATCTCGCCAAGCAGACTTTATTGGGTACTATTCCTTTTTGAGGATCGTAAAAAATCACCAAACTATTGTTGATGCCAGTGCTGCCGAAAATTGTTGCAACCCTAACCCAAGAAAGGAAGTATAATAGTAAATAATTATCTAAAGATTGTTTTAATTTATATGAAAGGTTAATTTCATATCATACTTTTTTATTATTATAATTTATATAAAAAAGGCTAAACGAAACTGAATGGAAGCATAAGAGTAAATAACTATTTCAGATCATTATCATAATTTATATAAAAAAAGGCTAAGCATAACTGAATGGATTCCTGCATTGCTATTCAACTGCCGAGTTATTGTTATAGCATAATTTCATCTCTTTGGTTCTTGAAACATAATTTTTTATAATGAATGATGCTTTTTCTTGTATTGCAGACTTTTCGTCATGGGCAATTCCCAAATTGTTAAATCCATAGGATATATATATATATATATATATAAAAAAAGATTTAAAGTCAAAAAAGGATTTAAAAATTAAACTAGTATTTCAATAGTGTCTTAAGAAATATAGAACTAGCTAATCTTGTGCAATTTGAAATCAGTGCATACACTAGATTTGGCTCGCTGTTAAATGGGCGCATTTGCTAGATTTGGCGCTTTTGCGTATACATTTTCGCTGCAATTTTTTACGGTCCTCAAAATGGAATAGTACCCTTTATTGGCGACAACATACAATGTACACATAAAAAATATTAAATGTTAGTTCTAAGCATTTTTTATTTTAAAGGCATAAACATTTTAATATCGTTTAAAATTTTTGTGAAAAGCCAATAAATAAAGACAATAAATTTGTAAAAAGATATTAATTTAAGAATTTATTATGCTTTCATGGTTCAACATCCTGATTTGCCTTTTCATATCACATGACCCCAAGTGATCTGATCTCACGTAAACTAGGCTACAAAAGTCTTAATTCTCTCAGTAATTATTTACATTAATTTCAAGTTAAATCTTAATTTGGAATATAAGTTTAAATGCGAGAATTATTTCAATTCATATGAATAGCTTACTCAGAAATTATGTAAAACTGCAGTGCTTTACTTTGCTAGTGCATTCTCATTAGAATTGATGAATTTAACCATTGGCTGTGCCTTTTCTATATTTTCACCATCGGGTGAGCGGTGTGATTGCATCCTAATTGACTTAATTGCCGTCCACGAATGGCCTTAGGGCATAAAATTGAACTTTCTGGTAAAAATTCTATGTAATTGTTTGCCATATTGAAAGAAACAATCAATCTGGTAAGAAATGGCTGTGACTTGTTTTGAAAATGAGGCATAAAAGGTTACCAGCAAGGATACTCCCTTTGGCATCGGTTGTACTGTTATTGGCGACTTTATCGCCTGCACCGGCAAAACGGAAGAGCACCAGAAAACCTTCTAAAAAGTTTAGACAAAAACTCCTACATTTCTCTTTCTTTTGCGAATTAAAGCTTCTCTTTCAGGTTAAATCAAACTACCTAAAAGCATCATTCTTGACAACAGCAAGGGACTATTAAAAAGGGAGAAAGCATAAGGTACGACCCCCCATGTCTTTTTAAGGATCTTACAAGAGTCAAATCCCCGAGCTCAAAAAGTTAATATGTCATAGATCTCCACTACACTACAGCTAAAGAGAGCTTTTCTTTACCAAGGATTTTCATCTGATTAGATTATCCTGTTAGATTTTCTAAATTGTTTTTAATTTTTGAAGAAATAATAAACTATGATCATTATATTATTCTGAAATGTTAGAGTATAAAGATTAAAAGACATTATATATTGATGTCTGTAAAAAATAAAAAAACTCCTAGTTGTATCTTAGAATGTCACACAAATTAAGAATCTTTTTATAAATTTAAAGAATAAATGCATAACTACATACTTCCTCTTTTATCAGATGATTTTAGAAACTTTTGATTTTTGATAGTGACACACAAAGTATATAATTGTAATCTATAGTTTGGAAATAAAATTAATACTATTGAAGAAAAAACTAGAGTCTTTTTTTAAGCATATAATACAATAATATTAGTATATCTATTCATATGTTTCTTTTAATCTGTTAACTTTGTTTAATCATCTTTCTTAGAATTGGTGCTTACCATATAATTTTCCTCTTGTCTCCTTGTGAGCTATGATGGGTTAGAACTAGGGAAAAAAGTAGCAATGCAAGAAAAAATATATAAATATATATTTTAGAAGTCTTGTTTAATGCTTATATATGTATGCGATATCTGACACGTTTAAGGACTTTTACCATTAAGCCCACTGGAGTTTCTAAATTATAACAACCATGGGTATTAACATATCTCAACTTGCTTCCATTAAGATATTACTATCTTATGAAAGGAACCCTTTACTTTTATGTAGCTGATCTTGTTGTTAAGGGCCATTCCCATTAGAGTTTATCTGAGCTAACAAAGACCTCTTAAAGCATAATTCATGCATAATGGAGTATAACCTGTACTTAACATCAAACTGGATTTTATCTGAGCCGACAGAATTAGTTCAATGTGTCGACGTCGACTAGGGTTTATCAGAGATTCAGTGATTAAAAATAGTGAGGAGTTAGAAAGTTTTCTTTAAACAATATATCTCTCATCAAATGGCACATTACAAATTATTATGTAATCCGTTTACGTGCCGCTCTTAATTGCCTTCTTATTTTATCTAGTCCCAAATTCCACCAGAGTGTTCTTTCTGCCACCTTTTTTTTTTTTTTTTTTTTTGTATACACTCAGCTGAGAACCCTATTATTACACAAATGTGGAAAAAGCTGAGTGTGCGGAAGAAAGAGAGGGCGGAAAGAACTCTCTGGTGGAATTCAGGACTGAATAAAATAAGAAGACAATTAAGAGCAGCACGTTAACGGACCCAAATAAAAGGATTGAGAGATATGAAGATCATGCGAAAAATCGAATATAAGAGAAACCTGGCAAAATATAAAACACTTATCAAGCATACAAGGAAAGAATATAAAAATTATCCATTTATGAGAGATGCAAATTATTATGATGAATTTTTAGAGTTGCCACTGCTAAAATGAAAAAGAAAATGATTATTGAGAGATATAGCGAAGTCCCGATCGCATCTATTAAGGATAATTACAAACAAATCATCTAAGTTATTTTATATCTTAAGGATTTTAGTGAGGATATAAATGGAGAAGAAATTATTATGGAGCAGAATGAAGAGAAAGACTTTGTAATGAAATTTTGATTGCAATAAAAAGTCTATAGATAAGGTTTACTCCTGGTTTAGATGAGATCAGGGCCACATTGTTGAAGATATTGTTTGAGGATTGTCCTTTCTTCTTCAAAGTGTTATATAATAGATGCTTGCAGTTGAGGATATTTCCAGATGTATGAAAAATTGGAAAATTAATCTTGATATCAAAGGATAAAGGAGGACTTTGTCCAATTTACATACTGAAAACATTTGCTAAGATTTATGATAAACTGTTAGTTAATAGAAGAAATATATTTTAAATAAGAATAATGTTATTTCAGAAAAGACAATTTGGTTTCAGAAAGGGAAAGTCAACCAAATTGGCTTCTTTATAGAGTCATATCTGACATTAGAGAAAAAAGAAAGACTGAGCATGTGGCTCTGGTATCGTTTGATGCCAGGGGTGCCTTTGACAATGTCACGTGGCTCTCCGTGATGCAACACTTCAAGAATATTGGAATTACTAAGAATATGTATGAAATTATAAAAAATTACTTTAAAAGGCGAAAGATGATTTTAAAGGGTTCATCTCGTAATCTGAACCTGGTTTTTGGCATTTACAAAGGATGATCCCCAAGGCTGTTGTAGCTCTCCTCTGTTCTGGGGCCTCATTGTTAATGAGTTACTGCAGAAAGTCAATATTTCAAATTTTGAGATTATCTGTTATGCCGACATATTGGTTATGGTAGCGAAAGACTCTCTTGAAAAAAATGGAGAAAGTATTTAAAAAAGTAGAAAACAATTTGAAAGAATGGAGTGACAGAGAGAAAATATATTCTAAAAAAGAAAAAAATTGTGAATTTTTTTTTTTTTTCTTTGGGTGGGAGAAAGACTAGACCTACACAATTGGAATTTAAGGGTAATCGTCTTAAATTTGGTGAAGATATGAAATATCTAGGAATATTATTGATAGAAAATTAAATTTTTCAGAACACTTTAAGCATATACATAGAATCACCGATAATATTTAAACACTTTATAAGTATAATTTTAGTGTTGATAGGTTGAATAGAAAGAGTTCCACCCCGAGAGAGATATTTATAAATATGTTCATCCCTAAAATGTTATATTGAGTCGGAGCTTTGGGCTGCCAAGCAGAGGAGATACTTAAGATTAGAATGAAACTGGACGTCCTGCAGAGAGGCTGGATGCTTGCCATTACAAGAGCCTTCAGAACCGTTTCGATTAAGTTGCCTGCGACCTTGCAGGTATTATCTCTCGATTTTATACAT